TAACTATATTCTAAATCCCCAACTCATAACAAATGGCGACCGTGACAGGACACGACCTTAAGTACCATATTCCTTCCTCCCTTGTAACTCCTTGTTAATTATTCCTCCCAGTCACTTCTGTTCACAATTGCTTTACGGTGGTTTAAAGTTTCCTTCATTTGTGTGTGCATATATTGGTATTATCTTACAGTAAGAGTGACAGACGTAGGATATTAGGTTCCAAGTGTCATAAGGCTTACCTATTATTACATGTGGCAGTCGTGTAGTAAGTCTTATCGAGTGTAGGGAAGAATCCTGATCTGTTTAATGCCGTACCCTCACTCCAGAGTAGGCTGTTCCATAGTCACTAGTTTAGGGTGAAGTGATATCTTGGGATGCCCCGCTCTACTAGGACCCCATAATTATAAAGACTCAATTATTGTTCTTCTCATTATCTCATTCGGGGTCAATAATCAAGTAACTCAGGGTTGTTAATCCGGATCTTTATATTAATGCCGTAATACGCCCTTCCTGTTTCAAGTATCTCAGGGTTGTTAATCCGGATCTTTATATTAATGACGTAATATGCCCTTCCTGTTTCAAGTATCTCAGGGTTGTTAATCCGGATCTTTATATTTATGCCGTAATACGCCCTTCCTGTTTCAAGTTTCTCAGGGTTGTTAATCCGGATCTTTATATTAATGCCGTAATACGCCCTTCCTGTTTCAAGTATCTCAGGGTTGTTAATCCGGATCTTTATATAAATGCCGTTTTACGCCCTTCCTGTTTCAAGTATCTAAGGGTTGTTAATACGGATCTTTATATTAATGCCGTAATACGCCCTTCCTGTTTACTCAAGGGTTGTTAATCCGGATTCTTGTATAAATGCCGTAATACGCCCTTCCTGTTTCAAGTATCTAAGGGTTGTTAATCCGGATCTTTATATTAATGCCGTAATACGCCCTTCCTCTTTCAAGTCTCTTATCCTTATCTAAGGATCTTATCAGAAGAACAATATTCATAATTGTAATTTCCCTAGGTATAACTTGGTTAGTTTCCGGGACTTTCTGGTTATCCACTGCCGTGATATTATCTAGGGTAATCCACTTATCTTATCTTTTGACCATTAGTTAATTTATCCTAGTTTTCTTAACAAAGGCCACCTCAGGTTTTGATCTCCAGGATTTTATTGAAAATCCTTCCGTAGCTAAATTACGTGTTAATATCCTGAAGAAAGAATGGAAAGAAATAGCCAACTATTACAATATCCCATTTTCACAGCAACTGACTAAGGAAATGTTAAAAAATCATGTAATTGAAATGTTGGTTCAACAAGAAGTTTTAAAAGAATCCGCTGTTGACTGATTAACGCCCATGTCCAAGAAACTTCAACCACTATCCACCACCCCTCCTCACTCAGAAGTTGCCTCAGGTCTGGCTAGCTCTCAAGAAAAAGCACAAAGAGTAGACACCTTAGAACTAGAACGAGCTAGGTTCGAGTTCCAAATCAAAATTAAAGAACTCGAGTTGGAACAGGCCAAGTTGGAGCAGGAGGAAAGGTTGGAACAGGCCAAGTTGGAGCATGAGGAAAAGTTGGAACAGGCCAAGTTGGAACAGGCCAAGTTGGAGTACAAGTCGGAGCATGAGGACAAGTTGGAACAGGCCAAGTGGGAGCATGAGTTGGAACAGGCCAAGTTGGAACAGGACAAGTTGGAGCATGAGGGAATGTTGGAACAGGCCAAGTTGGAGCAAAAGTTGGAGCTTGAGGGAAGGTTGGAACAGGCCTAGTTGGAGCAGGAGGTTAGACTGAAAGAACTACAGGTGAGAGAGATAGAAGTCACCTTAACATCGGAGTTTAAATCAAAAGAAGTGGCATTAAAAGAGAAACTAGCTGCTTTTAACCCTGCTAATGCTTCTTCCCTTGTTCCCGGGTTTGATGAATCCGATATGGACGGGTCATTTAGGACTTGAGAAAATAGCCGGCAAGAATGAGTGGCCAAAAGACCAGTGGGTGTCGGTGTTAGTTCCTAAATTATGTGGTAAGGCTCTTAGAGTTTATAACTGTTTAGACCAGACTGATGACTATGATAACGTAAAAAAGAATATCCTCACCTCTTATGCTATCACGCCAGATGGATACCGGCAGAAGTTTCGTAAACTGACCAAACCATTTTCACACACCTTTGTTGAGTTTGCTCAAGAAAAGCTTAGGTTTTTTAAGAAGTGGTTAGAGGCTACAGAGACCTCCACATTTCAGGATTTGTTAAATTTGGTAATCCTGGAGGAGTGGAAGAGCAAGATACCATTTCACATCTTGAAGCATGTGGAGGAGCGTGGAGAGGTTAATTTAGGACGTGCTGCTGAGCTGGCTGATGCTTACGCCTTGCTGGTGGAGTCACTGGGCAGTAGAGAACGTGATACTTCCCGACATGTTAGGTCCTCCTCTGATGCTAACTTTGGGGGCGTCAGTGGTAGGTCGAAAGGTCCAACACCTACCCCCCCCCCTGATGCAACCAAGTTTACTTGTTCTTACTGTAAAAACCCAGGCCATACGATCCAGACCTGTAAACACCCAAAGTGTCGAATTGCTAAAAGTAGTTCCCTGGATCCCAAATCCAAACCAATAGCAAACACCAATGTGGAAAGGCCCCATCAGGATCTCTTCTCTTCATTCACCTATGAGGGAAAAATTTCAATCATGGAGGGGTCTCGTTCTTTCCCTATTCGTATACTACGTGATACGGGCGCAGCACAATCTATCCTCCTGTTTAACATCATTCCTGATATATCTACCGCATTTACTAATGAGAGTGTTCTAATTTCAGATCTCTCCTCTCCTCTCCACTCGCACTTTTACATATATATATATATATATATATATATATATATATATATATATATATATATATATATATATATATATATATATATATATATATATATATATATATATATATATATATATATATATATATGTAACCGATCGGAATTACTGGACTTTAATTTGTCACTTGACTTTGGGTTTATTAAAGATTATTAGATGGTAATTGCAGTGGAAGCGCCCCATAGTGAGAAATCCCGAACCAGCACAAGAGGATAGCGTCTGTGACTGGGATGAATGAGACACACTGTAAAATTTACACTTATATTCCCTCCAACACTACAAACACAATCAAATAATGGTACACCAATATGCTCACTTCTTAACCTGAACTTAAAATACTACTCTGGGGAATAAAAGTTATACATGATGTTGAAATTATTAGAAACTCAGGCAATGCCTCATTAGAGGATAATAAGTTTAAAGTATTAAGAAATGTTGCTTGCACACATGAACCAGGCCTTAAGGGCTTTCAACAAAATATCAATCACTGAGAAAATGATATCAAATAAATAAGAAATTAATAACTCTACAATGAATAGGCCTTAAGGGCGCTCACCAAAATTATATCCAGCACTGAGAAAATGGTATAAAAATCAGAGCTTATTAACTCCACCCTGAATAGGCCTTCAGGGCGCTCAACAGAATTATTTTACCCCAACAGATACACACCTCCTAACCTAACTTAAACACTACTCTGGAGAACAAAGGTTATACCTGAGATTGAGATTATAAAGAAATATTAAATGCACACAGCATACATTAGTAACTGAAAAAATAGTATTAACTACACACAAAAATATTGTCACTATTATTAAGAAGTTACTGAGTCCACCAATACCCGTGAACCATGCTTCCTAACCTAACACACACACAGATTCCACCTGCACTCCGTAGTCGTTTAAGGCACAACCAACAGGCACCCGTAGTTTAAGGCCCAAATCAGCCTTTCTCCACCTTGGAAAGTGTACCTCTAAACTCCACTGACTCTTGGCCCCAGTGTGCAGCCCTGTATCACTCAGCTGGCTTCACTTTACCCCCCAGTACATCCATGAAGCGGAAGGGAGTGAGCCAATCAGACCTTGTACAGTTGAGAGAAGCTTTAGCTTTCCCGTTAGCAAGAGGGTTTCACTAAGCTGCTTGAGATATGTGGTATTGTGAGCCGAGGTAGAGGAGAGCTGATAACCCCATCGATCGTCCCTTCGTCAGCTGGGTACCCAGACGGCTAGATTCACTCAAGAGATCCTTTGATACCCCGCTAAACAGTGACAGGCCTACACTGATCGGTCCAACGGCGACAATAGCCAATCCTCAATCATCAACGGCAGTCTCAAACGGCAGTCAATCTCTCTCAGTCATCACTCTTGCAGTCAATTTCTCGCAGTCAAGTGGGTTCTGACGGAAACCCTGAAATGAACTCACTGTTAGCTCTTGTTAACTTTATCACTGCCCTATCTAAACCCTGTCTGAGATCGAATGAGACTTACTTGTTATACTGCAATAGCACAACACAGGTGACTAGGCCACGTGACTATTTCTGTGACGGACGCGCAGGGACGTCTTGTTGCTCGGAATGCTTTGGCGTTACTGAGAGCTAGCCAGCCTAGTGTCCTCTCAAGGCGTTAGCTTAGTCCTACGTGACATATTTTCCGCCTAACTAATAACTCCTTGGGACACCCGTAACATTATTCAGACTGATAAACGATCTATAATAATTCCAAATTCAATAATAGTCCCTTAACTTCATGAATCGCATCATTATTAATTCGGCAAATTACATTCAATATCATATAGGCCTAGTTCCACAACCTCTCGCTATGTGTGGGGAGCGCTCTCTTCCCTCAGACGACCTTGAAAATTCAGTATCGCCAATGGCGCGGCGTTAGAAATTACTCTGAAATTTCTGAATATTACATATGTATATATGCCTAAATTTACTTATATATATATATGCCTAAAGTTACTTATATATACTGTATATATATATATATATATATATATATATATATATATATATATATATATATATATATATATATATATATATATATATATATATATATATATATATATATATATATAAACATAGTCCTACTAAAGGAAAATCATGTATTAGTAATATTTATCAACTTAAACTTACGAGAAATTGAGAGCCTTGGCCAGGTAATCCATAAGATTCGGGACAGGCCCCTTGAAATTGATACTCTTTTTTCCGGGAGCTTCAGAGGCCTCTATGGCAATTATCTTATTAAATGGGTTCCCTTCCGACGCCGCCAGAAGAGTTGGCCTGTGAGGGAATCTGTAGGAGGAATAAACACGTGTTACAAAAACACTTATGAAGTTATATAGTATTTATCACCAAATTTTAAGTATAGCGTTTTTGTACTGCTTCTCTGTCGCTCCCCTTCCCCCATTGCTTGGTTGCTTCTCTGAGCGGTATCTTAGGCACACTTTGAGATAAACTGAAATTTGGACACAACAATGACTAATTCCTTAGGCAAAAATATCCTCTTTTCACCCATATTTTGTTCATGATATGACATGACATGAAAAGCGGTGTATATTTAAGGTGCCACTATTTGTTGCGTATAATATCCAGGCTAGAGAAGAGCAGCATACATTTGTATTTGACCTTATAATCTTTATCCTCTCACCTGCATTTGTTAATCTTCTATACCAATAAAAAGGTTCCGTTGGTACGTTTGAAAGCCTGCATATCTTAAGAATATTCTCTTGCATATCCCAAATCCTTTGTTTTTTCTTATTGTTATACCACCAAAAGACGAGTGACTTTACACTTTTAATGACTAATATTTTGCAATAAACAGTTACATTTAAAAATCAATTATGTATCGGAAATACTGATATATTCTCTTACTGAACTCACTTAGTGAACTTGTCAGGGAAGAGAGGTAGATTCGAGGCGAGAATGATGCCACTGGTCGGTGTCCAGGATGCAACTCTCAATGCCTGGGCTTCTCGGGGGCTGTACGGAAGGTGGACGTATATGGTGCACCTACAGAGGATAATATATATATATATATATATATATATATATATATATATATATATATATATATATATATATATATATATATATATATATATATATATATATATATATATATATGCAAGTAAATCACTGAAGGTGCGCATGATCCAAGTATATGCTATCAACCGCAAGGAAACAAGAAAACACAAAGTCTCCTCGATCAAATTCACTGTGGAATTAGAGAATGACTGCAAATTACCATTCCTAGACTTTCTGATCCACAGAATAGGCTTCACCTTTAAGTTCAGTATTTATAGGAAACCTACAGTACTAATGTGTGTTCATACATTCATTATTATTCTGCCCACCATAATAGAGTCAAACCGTCAATATTTTCATCAATGTTTTTACGTGCTCTAAGAATATGCAGTCAGGAATTCATTGATGAGGAATATAAATATATTAATAATATTAGCTTGAACCTTAAGTACCCTAGGTCTTTTATAGACAAATGCCTTAACATTACAAGGAAATCTTTTTATAGAACTGATCCTAAGCCCACCCATGACAATAAGAATCTCTTAGCATTACGATTTAACAAAAAATTATCTTAAATTCCTATACAACTGAAAACCTGGAACGTTAATGTGGCATTTAAAAACTCATGCACTGTAAAACAAATGTTAATTAAGAACTCCCCCAACAATGCAGGCGGCTGCATTTACGAGGTTCCTTGCAAGGAATGTTGTATGTTCTACTTAGGTCGGACGGGTAAAGATCTTATAACTAGACTTAACCTGCATAAATATAGTGTTAGGACAGGCCAGGAATCCAATGCTCTGTTCATTCATATGAGAGATAATAAACATTGCATTGACTGGGATAATGCCTCCTCAATATTACCTTGTAATTCAATTGACAGTAGGAACATTATAGAATCCAGTCTCATAAGACATACCGAATCTATCAACATGAATTTGAGTAATGGTATGTACAAACTGGATAATTTTGTGATTAAGAAGATTTGTAACCAGGTGAGAAGATTGGGTCATCTTACCCTATGACCTGACTATGGACAGCTGCTGTGCTTAGAGGTAGCATGGTCAATTTCTTTGGATTAAGAAGATTAGTAAGGGACACTGCCTTATGACCAGAACAGTGACGACCCCTGCTCTCCCCTAGGGACTTGATCTCACTTCTACCCCCTTAACTCATGAGACATAAAGGCAAGCATGAACTTAGCATGCTTCCCTGTTGGGCGCTGTAAACGCTTCTGCGCTTCACCTTACACAAGGATGTAGGGGAGTGCCCAATAAAAAAAAAAAAAATCTCACTCCCCTCTACTGTATATATTAGCCTTCTCAAGTATTTCTCCTTAGTCTGTACTCACCCCTGAAGATGTGAATTACACGAAAGCGCTAGGGAACTTCGTGTTTTCTTCTTTCCTTGTGGTGATCAGCATATATATATATATATATATATATATATATATATATATATATATATATATATATATATATATATATATATATATATATACATATATACTGTATATATACAGTGCGTCTTTCGACTGGCGGATGGTGGATCTCTTGACTGCTAGACTGCTTCGGTTACCAACACGAACTGCGGACCACACTTCTACCGACAGGCCTTGCTAGCCCGTTAATACTCTACCTTGCACATGATAGCTTCATAAGCCCCATCTAAACAACAACTTTGAGAAACTAGACGATTACGAATTGGAACTTTTAATATGGGAACATACAATGAAAGTATAATAGTAATCGCTGTAGAATTGAAGCGAAGACAACTCCATATTTTGCAAGTATATGATCCATAACAAACGGAAAGGAGATTATGATTTTAATGCAGGAATTGGTAATTATAGGCTAGCTATTGGAAACATCTCACTCTAGGTCCTCATGGTACAATAAGAAGATAGAGGGAGGGAGAAATGTTGATAAACTGATGCATGAAAAACGTCTTTAGGATATACAATAACAAATGGATTTTTTAATCACCAAGGCAGCCACAAGTTTACCAGCTATTAATGGAATTCAAGTACTGAGCATTTGAACAAGATTAGGTGATAGATTACGCTCTGACCTCAGACAGAAGATTGATAAACATACAGAAGTAACAGCTACAGTATCTATAGGTCCAGATCATAGACAAGTGATATAAAAACTAACAGATGACATTTCTCAATTCGGACACACACATACGACACGTCAGAGTACCTGATGTTCCCTAAATCGTTGTCGCTACTTATGACCAACATGGCATTCATCTTGGAAAATGTCCTCTGTAAGTGGTGGAGCTTCGGGAGGGGCAGTCGGGTGACGACGAGGAGTCTCGTCGACCACACCAAGAGGCGGGTCTTGAGGAACCATTCGTTGAAGGCGGCGAGGAAGGCTGGGTCGTTGCTGATGACCACAATGATAGTGTGCGATGACAGCTCCCGCAGCTGTTAACGTCGAAAAAATATGTTTGTACACACCTTCTGACTTTGGCACTCTGAGTAACTATTACCACTGGACTGTAGTGCATAACTTTATTACCACTATAAGAGTGACAAACTTTATTACCACTTTAAGAGTAACCAACTCGTATCGGTAATAATATGAAAGAGACTACACTGCTCTGCATCAGCGTAAGGCTTGACTTTTGATAGTATTATAAAACACTTACCTGGTGTATTACACTCATCACATGAGCAAATTGAATCTTTATCGTGACATTGTCTTGGCCGTCCGATGCTACTTCAAACACCCCAATACCTCGGGGGACTTGTAGATGACCTTGCAACTGAAGAATAAAAATGTTGTAATGCAGAGAAGAATTCCTTGTTAATGACAACTTGTTGCTGTAACTTTCAATTATAAGAATATCAATACGAGTGTGTCGCATTACACATCACTTCTAGTCAATCCACCTACATTGTAGACAGTTGAGGCGGAAGTGGTGCCGTCCGTGAGGAAAAAAACGGAGTAATTGGAACATGCCACTGATGCCAACACTGCCTCTATCACCCCTAATACGGATGACGTGAGATCTTGTTTACCTGTTAGAACATGAAGAGTTAATACAGTCCCCTTCACTAGTGCGTTTACAGGGGCTCATCGTATAAACATTCCATAAATCATTATCTTTGAGATATTTGTTTTAATATTTTTTTAATTTGATTCCATAGTATGTTTACTATTGCCAGTTTCCTTCTGTCGAATGTAAGCAAACACAGCGCTGCCACACTATACAAAACCTAACGAGCCCCTGTAAATGCACTAGTGAAGGGAATTATACAGTCCTGGTCAAAAGTCCTGTACCAGGCAGTTTTAGCTAACCTGGTTATGTGGCACACATTGAGTGTGCCAGAAACCCCGATTTTATAAACAATCCATTATATGGTGTCTCTATGTACATGTCCTCTATGAACTACACAATTTATCGATGATCAATGATAAAATGGTAGAGTGTATTTTATACTGTATTCCTTTCAACCTAACAGTTGGCCACTGTCAGTCAGCAGCTAAAATACAATACTTCGATCTTTCATGTCTACCATACCATATTTTCGAGTTTTAATAATTTTGTATCACAATTTTGTGGAGTTCATGTAATTAAGTAATACTTTTATCTATGTAAAAAGGATATGAAATGTTTGTGGTGAACTATTACTGTTTCATCTCATATTATATAAGTTGGATGATAGGAATATAAAATGTTATGTCTTGGGAGAAAGATATTACTTATATGTTGCAAAAACGGTTTTAAAAAAATAAAAAAATAAATAGAGGAAACACACAAACACATATTGTGTCTGCTAGACAACTGAATTATGTAAACAATCCATTTTAGAGCGTGTCTATGTGGTCCTCCATTTTGAACATCACTACTTATCGATTATAAGATTTCTCATATGCGAGTGCCATTAGGAAAGATATTATATAAATCACTATATTCATAGTAGAGAGGGTCATAGTGGAGACTGGTGGTGGTTGGGATATAATCATTCTCCTATTGCTTTTATGATGTTATTAATAACGCAAACCTCATAATATTGCACACGATAGTTTATTGTAATATGTAAATGACGATTTTAGGGGCAGTTCATGACCATTCACGGCTGGATTAGGGAAAGGGAGAGCCAAGCTGTATGGTTACAGCCTGCGCTTCGGCCTCACCACATAAATCAACTCACGTGCAGCCATCATCCAGCTCATCAAACTACTCATCATCATCAAAACCTCTATACCCCCAAAAGTCCTATACCGACGGAGGAGTTGCGACGGATACAGGCAGAGATGACTGCCGGGAGTCCCTAGTCACAACTCTGCACATGGGCGTCACAGATAATATAGTAGTTTATGCACTGGGATCGAGGCAGCAGTGCAATCCGGTCCTGTCTGTGCAACTGAGCAGCCCTTTCAAAGAGCCACCTGCTCACCCCACATGTGGAGAGGGCAAGAAAAGGTGCCCTAATCATAGCCTGCCTATAGAACCAACCTGACTGGGCAACCACACCCAGTAAAGTCATCCTTATGCGGTCGAAAACGCAATCATAATCACAAACTATTCAACCTCTTACGGTTGCTACATGGAATGTCAGGACCTTTCTGGATACTGGCACAAATGAGCGTCCTGAAAGAAGAAATGCCCTTGTGAAAAAAGATCTGGCTATGTATAACATCTACATAGCAGCCATTGGTGAGTCCCGGCTCTCAGACGAGGGTCAACTCACAGAACGGGGGTTTGGCTATACCTTCTTCTGGAAGGGTAAGCCTGCTGCAGAGAGAAACTGCATTTATGTAGTTGGCTTTGCCATCCGCCATCCGCCAGCTTAAATCCCTGTTGGGATCAACGAGTGCGTCATGATGCTCAGAGCCCCACTGAATCACTCACATCATGCCTTTTTCGTCAGTGCATACACTCCAAAACTGGATGCAGAGGATAACATCAATGAGGCCTTTTACGCCAACCTTGACAGAGTGCTAACCTCTATCCCCAGAGAAGATAAGGTTATGCTCCTATGTGACTTCAATGCAAGAGTTGGCAGAGACCCTGACATTTGGGAGGGAAACATAGGGAGAGAGGGATTAGGCAAGTTTAATCCCAACGACCTACTCCTCTTCAGCAAGTGTGCTTGCATACCACCTCGCTATCACCAATACCTTGTTTACGCAGGCAGACAAGTTCAAGGATTCGTAGCAACACCCACGATCCAAACAATGGCATCTCATTGACTACATCATTGTCAGAGAAAGAGATCGCTGAGATGTTCTCATCACACAAGCCAGGCGTGGCTCAGACCAATGTGACAATGATCATCTGCTCGTCAGATCCAAACTCTCACTTCAAGTCGCCCCAAAACGGCGATGTTATGAAGCTTCAAGATGAGGTTTTACCACAAAGGCTATGAAGGATCCAGCAGTAGCACATGCTTTCAGAGAGTAGCGCAAACAACCCGACAAAAACAACCCAAATCCCAGTGCCGAATGGGGTACTGACGACACTGTCGTGACAAAAACCTACAGAGAGAGACCTTGGTCTGGACTGGTTTGATGAAAATGACCCAGAAATCAATGTACTCGTCGATGATAAACGTGTTGCTTTACCTGACTGACTGAACAACCCTCAGTCTTCGATCAAAGCGTATACCTTCTGCAAGAAGAAAGGGTCAATCACTGATGGTGCAGCCCCCCTCCGCTCATTCGGCGGTAACTCCCTAATTAAAGATGAGAAAGGCATCCTTAAGTGCTGGATAGAGTCCTACCACTTGCTGCTCAACCCAAACACCGATGTGGATGTCCTGACTACCCAGCAGGACCCTCAGCATCCAGAGATGACCCATTTCAGCTATCCTTCATCCCTGGAATAGGTAGCTACTGCCATCAAACAAATGAAAATTAAAAAGCCTCAGGGCCTGATGGAATCCCAAAGGTGTATAAAGCCATCTCCACTATCTACTAGAGAATATATGGAAAAAGGAGGAAATCCACCAAGCTCTTAAAGATGCCTCTATCATCAATATTTATAAGAACAAGAGAGACTGGTCAGACTATGGCAACTACCGCCGGACCTCACTGCTGTTAGTAGCTGGCAAGATTATCGCCCGAGTCCACATAAACAGACTTCTTCTTGAGGAGGAAAACTTTCCCCCAGAATTTCAATGTGGCTTTAGACTAACATGTGGCACTAGGGTGTGTCATACGGAGGCGAATTCTTTTTTTTTGAGTTTGAAAAATCGGCCCATGGTATTAATGATGTAGTTCTATGTGCAGAATCATGCGATATCTTCAGATTTGAAAAGTTTTCATTTTTTGCTAGGTAAATTTTAACTTGAAATCTTATGAAAATTTAGTATTCCCACCCTTATACCAACACCACTAAATAGCTTATTTCAAGTAAAGTAAATGTATCAGGTTACTTTATTAGGAAGAAAATGATCCAGAATAGTGAAACGAATGATCTTGACACATTTATTCAATTTAATATTCCTTTAGAAAACAAAATCATCAAATACAAAAACCGGTTTTACTACTACGACCCGGTGTTGCTGCACACCATAGAGAACATGTCTTTCTTGCTTCTGTTTCTACTCATCACCTCCCTGCTGACCACCTGAGCTCGGATGTAGCCTTCCCTCCTCTCCTGGCTGTACACGTGACTGCTGGCCTCGCTCACTTGCTGTACACAACGCTCTATACTCTGGGTGTGCGAGGGCCAGGCAGGACATGCATGGGGTTGTCCAGGAAAGCTCTGACTTGAACATTGGTAAGGCTGCGGTAAGAGGGGGCTCACTGCCAGCCTGGATGTTATCCAGGTCTATGAGATCAGTGAGGGTCTTGGCACCTAGATTGACTTCAGGAGTCTTCCTGACCCTGAAGGAATCGTCACCAACTGATTCGTCATGCCCAGATCCTCATAAGTCTCATATCCAAGATCTTTTGACTGCCACTCTCTCTCTCCTCCTCATCCTTACTGCAGAGCATTGTCTGCAGAACTGCCTCGGGATGAGCATACCAGGAAGATCTCCTCACAGTCTGCTCCACAATCTGAACAACCTTCCTTGGCTGACTCCTCAGGAGCTCAAGCTGGAAGAGAACATGCCTCGGACCTTCGGAGAACGATGACTTGACCTTGGTGTTGAACCAATTTGGCAAGTAGACACTCACAATGAATTGGACAATAAGTCTCAGGTTGTGAAGCTGGTTCCCTTTCAGTTTAAGATGAGCGACCCAAATTCTGCAGAACCTGAGAGCCGTTGTGAGCCACCTAGAATGTGAGACTGGACCTATCTGCAGGTAAGCAAGTCTATCAGGCATGACCTCAGTTTTGATGGCACTGCAAATCATGTAACCATAGTACTGGTCAGTATTCAGGTCGTCAATGACAGTATGTGCAAGCTCAACGAGTGGAGGGCCAACTGTGATTTTTTCAAAGCTCGGATTTATTTCTAACTCAGTGGCAGAGTCCAGCATCTTGCCAAGAGGACCAGACCATCTGTTGTTTGAAAGAGTCTTGCCATCCAGCTCCTGGATCAGATGTCTGAGTGGCAACTCGTTGGTGTGGAGGTCACAAACAATCCAGACCAGCTTCCTCCCAATCTTCCGCTCTATCCACTGTATGACCCCCCCTTGCCACCCTGTGTTCGTGTTGGTGCTGTCCCCTCCAATGGCCTGCAGGGTCTGGTCTACGTTCCTCTCTCTGAGCCAGTTCACAATGTTATCTGCCACTATCTCAGCTGGTTTCCTGATGTCATCTTTCTCTGGAGTGAAATGCCACAAATACTTCCCTCCTGGTTCACTGCAGCAGGAGTAGTGTTCCTCCTTCACCATGGCAGGGAACAACTTGTCAGAATCTCCAACTTTCATGAACACTTTAGTGTCATCCCTTCTCCCATCAAAGAACAAACAATTGATTCCATTTTCTCTTATCCCCTTATCAAACTCCTCTTCTAGGTTACTGACAAGTTTCTCTTGAGCTCTCCTTACTTTGTTATGATCTATCACCAGGTGAACATCATCAGGTGTTATCAAACCACCGTCAACCCAGGCAGCTGTT